TGAGGCGAGGGTTACCACCTGCCAATCTGTGCTTGGCATTAGGATCACTCCTCAAGTCAAGTCTAAACTGTCTTTAGAATGAACATGGTAGAAAGCAGTTCAATTTCTTAAAGAAGAAAACTTACCAAATGCTGCGGATTGATTCGAAGCCGAGCAAACTATCCTAGTAAACTAGAGCGGATTGTCCTTATATTCGACTTCTGTCTAACCAATGATGTGTTGCTATTCGCTCAATGAGTTGACCACCAGTCACAGGCAATAATCGTGCTCAAGAAATGATCCCTTGTCGCTCATTGAAAGCGCATCACATATGTGGAATTAATAACTGTAAGGTTTACAATCCTAAAAATATGTCTATCCGATACCACATGGGCACCAGTGACGGCAACTGCGGACGCGGTTTGTGTTGAAGATCAAAACGATGGCGAATGTCGGTCAGGGTTAGAAAGTGATGTCACTGGCACACACACACGCACAGCGACTCTAGATGTTAATGAATAGTTGCTCATGTGATTCATCGGGTTGAAATGCAAACGAAGGTTGAGTTAAAAGGGTTAGTGGGTGCGTGTGAGAAGTATAGACGGCACCATAGCAAACAACTTCAAGTCCTTGATACATCTGGTACGTGCTGAATCTTCCCTACACACACACACACAAGGGCACACACACACTCCATCTGACTAAGTCGACTATATTTAGGGCGTGGACTTGAGGCGAGGGTTGCCACCTGCTAATCTGTACCTGGCAATAGGACAACTCTTCAAGTCAAGTCCACGCTTTCATTACAATAAGCGAAGATAGGAAGCAGTTAAATCTGTGCAAGAAGAAGACCCACCCAATGCTGCGGATTTATTCGAAACCGAGAGAGAGGAAGATAAAATGTGCTCTAGGCAGTGAGCAAACTGTTCTAGTAAACTTGAACGATTTGTCATTAAATTTGACTTCTGCCTGACCAATGATGTATTGCTATTCGCTCATTGAGTTGACCACTAGTCGCAGGCAATATTCGTGCTCAAGAATTGACCCGTTGTCACTCATAGAAAACTCATCAAATGTCTGAAATTTATACTTGTGAGTTTTACAATCTTTAATTTTATCCATCCGATACCACATGGGCACCGGTAATGGAAACCGCGCACGCGGTTTGCGTTGGACATAAAAACGATCAAAAACGATGGCGAATGTCACGGGCACACAGCCATGCACGGACGCAAGATGTTGATGGGTAGTTGCTTATGTGATTCATTTTTGTTCAAATCCGAATAAGGTGGGAGTTAAAAGGGTTAGTGGTTGCGTGTGAGAAGTATAGACGGCAGCATAGCAAACACATTCACGTATATGTTACACCTGGTGAGTGGCGCCAACACCTTACCAAGCAATCATTTTAGACCCTTCAAGAATATTTCATACAGAAACACGTTGTTTATTTCATTTTTGGTATAATATTGGTGAATACACACAATTTGGGAAATCACACAGCTGTTTTAAGCAAACGGACAAAGTTAAGACGATGGAAATGTACATGCCATGTGAGTCATTAATGGCACTGCGAGTCATCAAGCAGGAGTTGCGCATTCGTCCTCACGAAACAGCGACTGCAGCGCGATGTGACTGTGCCGAAACAGACAAACTACGAACACATCCAACTCAGTCCGATTGTGCTACTTAAAATACCAAGTCCTGATGAGGCACATCCAACAATCCGACAAATTTTATCCCGTCCGATTCTACATCAGCTGCTGTGCAGTTGCTGAACATACCAGGTGCTGAAATAGTACTTGCATTACCAACATAGAACGCAGAAAGGTCATGCAGACAAACTCATCCTCCTCTCCGCACACTCACAAGGTCACACACGGAAACACATTCCTCCTCGAGGTGATTGATTGCGTAAAATTTTAGCCAGGTTAGAACTGTAGATTAGACGACAGCTTATATTTCGATTAACAGTGTTAAGTGTAGATGGATAAAACTGACAAAAGAAAAACGAGCATTTAGATTTGCATTGGTGTGGGGAGGTTGCTGCAGGTAATCGGAATGCGACGGCCGCCTCCAATGGAAGCCATCTTCTAAAACAGCCTCATCCTAGCAGCGACAACTCCCGACTGGCTGGCAGCACTTGGTGCTACCATGTCGCTACGCCTCTTGCCTCCTCTCCTTCAGCACATAATCAGGGAATCAGGGGCAGGTATTTAATCCGAGGCACGCAAGCAAAGTTTGTGTAGCTGCGACTATGAATCAAAGAAGTTAAATGCAAAAAGGGCGAGGGTAGAGGGGTTGGGGTTAATGGTGAGGAGGGTAAGGAGAGGGAAGCATGGCAACCACTGTCTTGACCTTGTCGCATCTGGTGCGTGGGGTCACACGCGGACGCACTTCTCACATGACAGGCGCGCATAGTCGGGCCAACCTCCATTTCTCACGAATGCTTCACACGGTGCGACAGGTGTCAGCAAGTGTGAGTGGGACGTTCTGCTCCGAATCTCTATTAAACTATGGCATTTGCCACTCGCAAAGTTGTCACTAAACACCTACCATAAAAGACATCACCCCAGCTTATTATATTTACATGAGAAAAAACATTTCATGAAAATGCAACACTCACCATCCGCCTGGAGTTGCTTACAAAATTTCGGCAAACTAACTGAGACTGGTTGCCAGATTGATGCATCTTGACAAATAAACTGTTTCGTAGGTATTGAGCAACGGATTGAATTTGCATTGCAGAGAAGATCAGTCCCAGATTGCCTGATTGTGAGCAGACGGAGGGGAGAGAAGATTCGGAGCGATATGATAGGACCAAGTGCTGCCATCCGATTGGTAATTTTCGTCGCTAGGAGGGGGCAGTGGAAGAGGGCTGTTTCCACTTGAGGCAGTGGTTGTGTTCCGATATTCCTCCAAATTCTCCCCCACACCAGGGCAAATTCAAACACCCGTTTATTATTTGGGAGTTTTTATCCATCAACACTTAACATCATAACCAAAATATAAGCTGCCGTCTAATTTACAAAACCAGGCTTGTCTGGTCACAAACGCAGGTCCATCGCTGTCGTTGCTACCACAGTCCCCACCCTACAACAACCTCTTCTCCTACTCCCCATCCACTCCTACTACATACTGATCAGCATTTGTCCACGATGACTCAGCAGTGTTTCCTCGGTGTCTACGGCATTCTGTAGGCGGCTTCTCCGCGCGATGACCTGTTTCAAACCAACATGGTGTCCATAGTGTATGGTATGTGAGCCATCACATCTTGCTACGCTTCATTTTGCCCACCTCATCATCTGGGCTATGCAAACTGTCAGATATTGATCTTACTTGCGAGGCAATTCGAAGGCGTTTTTTCGATGTCTACGAGATACCACTTGTTGTCAAGTTGAACTTGTGTTGCAATCAAAGCATAATGTTTTACTGATTGAAGATGACAGTTTGAAGAAGACAAACCCGAAAATTTGTGTTCTGTTCCGCGGCAAGTGATCTTAAACCTTGCCAGGGCCACTGACTTCATTCTCGTCCGATCAGACGCTACGCTGTGCTGTTCGCGCAGAGGAAGATGGAGAAGATCGGAGAAGACATCACCACACGCCTCAGAGCTGAACCAAGTTGCTGTCTTGAAAGTGTGTGGGTGTATTGTGTCTGGAGGCATTTGTGCACGTCTGCTTATTATAGCTCAGATGTGTGAAACATCGCGAGTCACAAAAGTGCTAGCATCCAGACGTAGCTGAAAGTCATCGCAAGCGTTGTGGTAATGTCGGATAATCGCTAACGCTTATGAACTGTCAATTTGTAATCCTTACTTCGGCTAAGGACTGTAGGCTGCGAAACGTGGGGTCGCAATGTGTCATCGAATAAAGCGATCGGATAAACTAGCGTGAGTCGGCTCAATCGCACGTGATTCGACGAAGACAGCGCAGCGCGAACCAGAGCGTGCTGGATGTCTCATTTCATAACCCTCACAGAAGCTCTACTGCGACCACCTCTGCTACATCTGATTCTGCTATTGCCCACTATGTCTAAGCCAGTGCTTCCTCGTGGTCTGCGCAAATCCGTAAGCTGATTCTGTCACGCTCCTTTCATTTCATGACGGTGGCATTTGTCTTGCATTCGACACGAGTGCTTCGAGTACCTTTTATTGTTTGATGGGTGACATCGTTTAACTTGGTGGGTGTCGAAGTTCACTGACTTTGATTGCGATGTTGGGTATTTGTTGAATGTATCACGCCAGAGTAACATAGTGGGTGGCATCTAGCGATCTGACACTGCAGAAGCACTAACGGGTGTCGTCTGTGGGATAGCTTTTTAGTACCTAGTAATCGGTCTGCGTGGATGTGTTCGCGGTTTGTCTGTTTCGTCACAGTCCCATTGCACTGGAGTCGTCGTTTTGTGTGGACGAATGCGAAACTCCTGCTTGATGACTCGCAGTGCCGCTGACGACCCACTTGGCATGCACATTAACGTCTTCTAAACTGTGTTTGTCTGCTCATGTCGGATTTGTGATTTCCCAAGTGGTGTGTTTTTGATGCAGACCAATATATTATTTTTCTAGTCACTTTTTCACCAAGGTTTCATCGAAAATAAGGTAAGCCACGTGTTTCTGGATAGAATATAGATGCACAGCATAACTTAGTTGATTCGAACACAATCAAGATGGCGATGACAGCCCACACGCTGATACATCACTGTGATTATTAGGTGTTGGGGGAATGTGTGTGTGTGCCAGTAAACCTAACTGTGGTTTTGTTGATTTCACTGTTGCAGGAACGAATGCAATGTGTGTGGCGGTGGGTCAACAGCATACCGCTGGACGCCCCAACTTATGTGCAGAACTCTCTAACGCAAATTGAGATTCTATCCGACCCCAAGTCGTTCCCTGACGAACTCTCGCTCTCCGACCACACGCCAATCCCTGGTGGTGTTGGTGGCGGTGGTGGTGGCCCCACGTGAAGGTGTTTGCTGTGCTGTCGTCTATCCCGCCTATTCCACCAACCACCAGACCATATCGCTACATGCGTCTTTTTACTTCTCAGATTCTTTCCATCACCACTTAACGCGAAAAACGAAATAAACACTGTCGTCTGATTTAAAAAACCGAGCTAGTTTGCACTTTGCCGACTCACTTGTCAGGGGGAAGTGTATGGTTCATTTGTCTAGTGAGTGTGTGTGTGTTTAGTGTAACACGTTTTGTTTTTGCATGTGGCTCGTGTGTGTGCTTGTATTTACGATTTACTTTGATGTAATCGGCACAATGAAGTGTTCCCATTCTTTAATTTGTGTGCGAGAAGATGTGTTCTCTGTTATAGAACACCAAACTAGTTTGCATTCCTGCGAGTCATTTGCCATGGGATGGGTGTGTTTTCACGTGTCTGCTGCGTGCGCTTGTCGGTGTAGTGTGTTTGTGCTGCTGGTGCGTTTGCATGTGTGTGGGTTTATCACAAGTCGAGCTGGAGTCATGGGTACAGCTCAATGCCCTTGCTTGCATCTCTAAACAGATTGTGCGAACTTGTGGCGGCGTTGAAATTACTTGTAGATATCGAAAGTACTTTCTTCGCATAATTAACATTCCCAATTGGCTAGTCGTCATGCTAGTCCTGCGCGATCGGGCGTGTGTGTGCTCAGAGGTTGGGAACATGTGTGTAGCCTGACAACTGACAGTGCCTCTAATGCGATGTACCATAACTAATGACAACCCTCTCATTGCTATTATTGGTTGTCTGCGAAAGTTGTGTAAAGTCGTTACCGCAAGCTTCAGAACTCAACCAATTTCATATCTCAAGTGTATGTGTGTCTTGTGTGTGGCGGCGTTTTCGCGTTTGTATTGATAGTCACGATAACTTCATGTGTCCACAAAAATCCAAAATCGATTCTAACCACAAGTGGTGAATTCAACGTTGAAATTTTCGAGCCTACGAGATAGTATGTCTGTTTAAAATTGTGCAGAGGTTTTTAAAGAGAGTGCAGATTATCAACGCCTGTCTGATCACGACATCACCCGAATGCTGCAACACTTGTTGAAATCCACGCTTCGCCACCTGACGTACCAGCGTGAAAATAGCTGGCGCATTTGGGGTCGAAATCTTCTGCTTGCCTATGTGTTGAACATCAGCCTGCTGATGTCCAGGGCTGACAATGTGGCAATTTAAAGCACACTCTGAGGGTGTTTGGATTGGTGTTAATGTGGAGGAGGGTGTGACGGAATATCAGACCACAACCACTAACTTCAGTAGAAACAACCCTCTTCCACTGCCTCCTCCTAGCGACGAAAATTACCAATCGGATGGCAGCGCTTGGTACTATCATGTCGCTCCTACTCTTTTCTCCCCTCCGTCTGATCTTCCCTGCAATGCAAATTCAATCCGTTGCTTAATAACTACGAGACAGTTTATTTGTCAAGATGCATCAATCTGGCAACCAGTCTCAGTTAGTTTGCCAAAATTGTGTTAGCAACTAAAAGCAGTTGATGAGTGTTGCAATTTTGTGAACTGATTTTTTTTCACACAAGTATAATAAGCTGGCGTGATGTCTTTTATGGTAGGTGTTTAGTGACAACTTTGCTAGTGGTAAATGCCCTAGGTTGAGAGAGATTCGGTGGTGGTCGGTCCAACTATGCGCGCCTAAACGAGAAAAAGAGCAAATTCGAGAGGGTGCAGTGGCGGAATTACCCTGTAGCTTGCGTCGTTTTGGACAAAAAGCAGGAATTTAGTCATTACTTATTGACATGTTTTAAAGGAATCGCAAGAAGCTAAAGCTCACTAAGGAGGCTGAATCTGCTTTTTAAGCTATGAAGGATGATATGGCAGACGTTTTCTTATGAACAGATGCTTTCCAAACTGTTGTCGGCACTGGCCGTCAAGTGCTGGATGCTTGAATTGAATCAGCATCAATCTTAGCATGAATGTTACGACCAACTCACACCCTGTGAAACACTTTTGCAGCCATCTAAGTGTTAACTCCCATGGGATTCAGCACGAAAACTGCGCGGATGTTTGGCATTCTACAAACACGTTGTCACCTTCCAGCACAGGCACACTCACACACACACACATACGGAAACACATTCCTCCTCGAGGCGGGTGTCTGGGTAAAATTTGAGCCAGGTTGGTGCTGTAAATTAGATGACAGCTTATATTTTGGTTTTGGTGTTAATTTTCGATGGATAAAAACGATGAATGAAAAACGGGTGTTTAAATCTGTGTTGGTGTGGGGAGGAGGGGAAGTTGGAGTTGGGGTAAGCTTGGGTCGCAGAGGTGGGTGTAAAAGAGGTGAGTGGGCGGGGTAAGATAAAAATGGGTAACGAAATCACTTTCTTCTCTGTGTCATATCTGGTGCGTAGAGTCATGAACAGCACATCTCACATCACGGGAGAGCATATTCGGTCCAACGGCCGCTTGCTTGCAGTCGCTTCGCCTTTTTCCAAATGCTTCTCACTGTGCGGCTGGCGCGCAGCTCTGAGTTGACGGTTCGTCGACGAACCTCACCCACGCCAGGGTATTTGCCTCTCGCGAAGTAGTCCTTAAACAGCTAACACAAAAAATATCGCATGTAGTTATTGTATATGCATTATTAAGCTTAACAAACAAACCGAAGCGTGAAAATTAAAACAATTTACTGACACATTCACCACCTATCTTACTCACCTCGACAACTGACCGCGTCTCGTTGTCGTCGAAGGTCCGATTCGGAGATCCTTTCATCGAAGATCTCTCCCTGGTTCTGTGTCTATGCGCAGACGGGGTGGAGGAAGGAGGCGTAGCGTCGTGGTGAGGCCATGTGAGAGCAGGCGATTGGTGGTTGCTGCCGCCAGGTGTAGGCTGAGGCAAAAGACGATTTCCACTTTGGGCAGTCGTCGTGTTGCCTTGGTCTGCCACACCTCCATCGCCATCACCACCACCACCACCGCTAGCGCAACCTCCCTGCGTCTGCTGCTGCTGTACGTGGTGGTCGCCTTCCGCTCTACCTACAAATCGACATTTCAGATGTTCATACCAACTGATCAATCACACATTCACAACAGCTTTGTCAGATGTGATTAGGCAATCTCACGATGACGCATTATTTCGATATCATCCTGTGGCAGCGCAAAGCCACGGACAAGAGAGGTCACACATTTCACTGGAAAGACAACGACACCCAAACACTCACAAAACCACCCCTACAATATGCTTGCGATTTGTGACGCCAATAAATGGACAAATTGATTATGCATTCTGGCAGGGATGTGTGAGAAAGCGACAGGCATTACGCGGAACACCATTGATGATTTAGGCCAAATTTGTACAACTTCCGTCAGTCAGACTGTTAGATGATGGGAGAGCACATCCGCCCATAGAAGGCCTTTCTCTGTGTATCATCACACGCACACGCACACACACACACACACGAAAACAGGCCAGACACAGGATACACACACTAGACTCACGCTGGATGCACGTACTAACCACAAACACGCGAACGCATCAGCCACAGATAAGCCGTCCTTCATAGCTAATTAAGCGTACTTGCACACATCCTAGACACTAAACACGCACACTCTACAGATACGCACAAGCACACAGGATGCACGTATACACAGGGCACTGAGTAGTTGTCCTACGTAACTGACCTAAACACCCACACGTGCGCACGCCCACAATCAACACACGCACACCCATGGTTTAGACAAACACACACCAAAATCAACTACGCACGCCAAATTCACACACAAATATAAAGCACAGGCGAACACACCTGATTCACATGGGCACAGATAGAGGAAGAATTCACATACCTTTAGAAGTCTCTCCACCAACTCCATCACCGCCACTAGCGCTGGGGATAATTGTGTCGCTCTGGGTTGGCGTGTCATCGGAGACGAAGAGTTCTCTGCAGATAGACTTGAGGTCAGAGGGGATCTCCATTTCCGTAGGCGATGGCTGTTTATCTGCTGGGGCGTCCGGTGGAATGTTACTGATCCACCG